TTCTCAGGCAAGCAGCCGACTGAAGAGCCTCACGATGCTGTCCGATACTCTGTTTGGGGTGTAGGGCTTTGGGATGTTTGGGGGTTTGGGGTTTAGGGCTTTAGGGCTTTAGGGCTTTAGGGCTTTGGGCTTTAGGGCTTTAGGGGTTTAGGGTTTGGGGCTTTAGGGCTTTAGGGCTTTAGGGCTTTTAGGGCTTTTAGGGCTTTGGGCTTTAGGGCTTTAGGGGTTTAGGGTTTGGGGCTTTAGGGCTTTAGGGCTTTAGGGCTTTTAGGGCTTTTAGGGCTTAGGGCTTTAGGGCTTTAGGGCTTTAGGGCTTTAGGGCTTTAGGGCTTTTAGGGTTTAGGGCTTCAGGGTTTTACCACTTCAGGGTCGAGCTAGGATCCTATGAAAACCTTCGGCTTGCATGAGGTCACGGTCAGGATGGAGTTCCTATGGGGGTTTTGTTGTAAGCCCTATTACCTTAACCCTTAAGCGGTTTAGGGTCCAGGGTTCGGGCTCTCGATTCCTTACACACTCTTTGCCTTCAGTACAGGAGAGCAGTTGTCCAGAGATGGTGATAAGCTCTACATGCCTTCGCAGGAGCCAGAAATCTGAACATTGACCTTTGCAGGTATGATCCCCCGTTTCGATCCTCCAACTGAACGAGAACCCTCATCACCACGCCGACGTGGTGCAGAACTGGTCGAGGAATGTGGTGCAACTGCACTTCCAACCGATCGATGTTTGCATGATTGTGGCAAGCCCTCCTCCTCATGAGCTGTTTTCCTGCCAACGCCCCCACAGCTCTGGCACCAAACATTTTCTGTCAAAGCACGTCTTGCCCCACGCCCTTCAAACGCTCCATCATGAAACTCTGGAAAATCCGGCAATCCCTTAGACGCATCCTGAAAGAACAAAACATGCCTTGAACCGGAATATTCCTGATAAGGTTGCTGCTTGGGTCGGCCAAAGCCGGCACCTTAGATGTTCCTATTTCGTGACGCTTTTTTGGTCTCGGCCTCGGCATGTGCTGGAAGTGAGCCGCGCTCAAGCCCGGACACCTGACCTAACGGATGCCGAAGTTGATGCCCAGCCCGATCCCCCAAGAGCAGAATTCCCAAATCCTCAGGCTCGCCCCGAAGATGCCCTCAAGGCACTGAGCAGTTACAACTCGTGGAAGCTGCAACCAGCCGCCTGAGGATGCACATCCACAACGTGGGGGGGCCCGACTGTCTGCCGCAGAGAGGGACTTGCACAGACTCTCTAGAAACGTTGAGGGTTTCATGTGAGTTTCGGAGGGAGTTGTATTCCCCTTGGGGTCGGGAGCTCGACGGCATGACGCGGAAAACAGTTGCATACAGGAAACTCAGCCATGGTCATCATTCCAGCTCCAGTAGTATTAAAACCCTAGACCAAATACCCTACGCCACGATTAGTAGCATTAAAGCCATTAAAGCCCTAAACCATAAACCCTGAACCACGATTCAGGGTTTAGGTTTCAGTAGAATGACGACCTCTGAATCTGACACCTTGCCCCTGTACCGAGGCACTGACGAACCAGCTGATTGCAACCACTGTGGAGCCGTGCTCCTGCTGCCACCTGCGGATTCACATGAACGCCGCTTGCCCGGCTTTCAGATTCACTTCAAAGGATTCCGCAATAGAGGCTGCAGGGCCAGGGCTTGATGTGCTTCTAAGCTGCAGTTTTGCATCGCTCGACCTTAGCTTTCAAGTCAGAACGTGGTGGATTTGATAGATGGCCAACTAATTGCGCTGAAGGACTTGCAGAACTCGACGCACGACAGCCTCGCGAACCCTAGCCCCCGAAACCCCAAGACCGGACCTGTGATTTTTGGAACGTTGAGCAAAAACTTCAACCCTCAAATTCTTAGCCTCGGTCCCTCAAACTCCAAACTGGAAGCCGAGCTCTCCGCACCCCAACCCACAAGAGCCCGAATCCTGAGCACAGGGCCAGAGCTCCTTAAAGAAGTGACTTTGACAAAGCTGTAAACCATATCATACCAGGACCCTCCTTGTACCCTCAAATAGGGTTTTAAAGGGTATTTAGGGTCTACTAGAGGGTAGATGATGGAGGGTCTAGGTAAGGACATGTACTCAGCAGTCTATGCAACTCCAGGAAGCTGTAGAGGACATGTGGAAGCACCATGCTTGCGTCTGCGCTCCCAGGATCAGAATGGCTCCGAGGTGCTCAACTTGAACCACCATTGCTGTGAAGCTGAGATTGAATAGTTTTGTATGAAGGTCCGAACAATCAGAAACCACATCCCCTTGGAATTCTGGGAAGGTTCGCATTTCCAGTGTATTACAATTGGGAAGCGTACCCCCGCATAGCTGATAGTCTCATTATCGAGCTACATCCCCCTCCCCTCAAACAACCTGTTAAACCTTCTAAGGCCCCTATATCCGAAATACGAAGCATAGTGAATACACCCGCATAAAACTCGGAAATCGTCAGAATAGCCGTCCATCCCCAGCTTTCTACTCGGGTTTGTTAGGCGGAAACTCGGTCTGAAACCCTGCGAACACGCAAAGCGCACTAGTTGATGATCCCCGCCGAGGACTGTTCCCTGCTCTGTTGGGGCTGTCCGTGCGGCTGTCAGGTGGCTTGGTTGATCTTCGAAGTCTGTACCTTGGAATGAGGGTTTTGGTTTTGGGTTGAAGCGCCTCAATTGGAATTCCCGCGCAGGCAAATGTTGGCATGTTATTGCCGATTCGTCCATCAGCTCCACCTCCCATATCTCTCTCCTATCGAACTGGGCCTCATAGCTGTACTAGCGTTCGCATTGCACGTCTCGTTATGTGCATGGAAAGATACTTAGTACCGCGTTCAGGGCTCACGGATGAATTGACGAAAGGTTCTGCGACCTTCGCGAGTGGGGACAACTGGAACTGTAGTCACAGTAGCTTCCACGCATCTAGAGTCCGAGGCGTAGAACTTTGTGTCCGCCTGCATCAGTAGCGACTAACCCGGAGTTTCTCAATATACCCGGTCTGGGAGAGCACAGAGGTTTGAGGCTCAACGGCCTTCATCAGGAGACGAACTTCCAGGTGTACGACCACGGCCAGTCGGCACCTAGTCCGCAATACTCTTTGAGCTGCCTGCGAATGCCAACAGTTTAAGTGAACAGTTTTGCGGCTTTCATAGAGCTTTGGGAGGTTTGGCTTGCGCGGCTTTCCTTGTTTGTTGCAAATGGACGTGACTTTTGGATGTGCTCGAGGGTGTCCCACAGTCTTACCGGGCATTCGCAGGGCATTGGGCCCTGGCCATGTGGGATGCTGCACATTGTCGAGTCTATAAGATCGGTTCGAAAGTAGAGGCCTTGTTGAAGACCGCACGATCTAATGGTGATGTGAGCCTGTACTGGACTACGGGACTGCCCATATCCCTCAATACTTTACCGAGGTTTCAGCTACACCTACGCCACGAGATTTCCCAACAAGCGACAGGAGAACCATTTTAATATGGGGGCCTAAACAATTACCCATA